AAAAGAATGCCGCTCAAACAGACGCATTCTCTCAAAAAATACTATTTAAAACTACGTTTTTTTTAAATTTTAAGGCCACCAAACAGGGGCTTATTGTTGAGCTCATATCATTTTCAATATCCAACCTCATAGCATGTGACCAGTGAGATATGGAAAGTAAAATGGCAGCAATGTAGAAAATAACATTCAGATAAAAGAAACTGCTAAGGAGAAGAGTTATAGAAACAAATTAAACCTTAAAAGACATGCCTGGGGAGTGAGAGCGCAATAAAATTTACTGAGGCAAAGTTAAGAAAGAAAACAATGGGAAGGCGGCAAAATGGACAAGTTGACTGAGAAAATAATACGCGTTCAAATGCACCAACACAAGCCTGTTGACAAATCTTCTCAACTACGACAGGAAAAACATCATATAAAGTAGGCCATTGCTTATAAATATTATCTACAAGCAGTATCAATCACCTTAATGGAGGCCTAAAAGATATTCATCTACAAGCAGCCTCAAACACCTTAAAGAAGGATAATTTCCCCATCCATTCACAATACATATCTCCAAATTGGAACCATCATTACCTCTTTCCTTTTCAAATTATGGAAAAGACAGAATAAAAGAGGAATTTCCAGTATTATTCAAACACGGGATTCTGCATGCAATAAAATAAATATTATTCGTTCCTTAATATACGGCTAACTCTACAGTCTACACCTTGTCCCTACTTTCCTACTTCCAGCTACAAGAACCCATAGGTAGTCTGTTTGCTGACTGATTCACTAAGGTTCCTCTAAACAAATAGCTAAGAAGATAGCATGAAAGGAATGGCCCATAAGAGGAAAAAACCCCAACAAAATCTGGGTAGCAGTTACTTGCTGATATTTTAAGATAACTTCTAGAATTCCATAAAGTAAAAAATGTGAAAACATTGACACTGTAGAAGTATGTGCAATGAATTCTAGAAAAAAACATATGATGCAGTGGCTTCTGAACTATGTTCTATCAATCTAAAATCAATTAACTAAACCATTAGAATCTTCATTATGTCCATAATACATTTTTGTCACGTAGGCAGCTTGTTGTACTCATGTACATCAGTTATCATCGACATGACAATTGTGTTTTGAAAATCACAAAATTTCAATAACACCTATGACGTAGTGAGAAATAACAAGATAGCAACGTGGGAAAGTTCTACATATAACTTATCACCACAAAACTGAGAAAAGTTCCTTTCAACAGCTTTACTAAGACCTACAGAATTTTATCTTCCAAATGAAAGAAAAAATTAGGCATATCCTAAGTTGATGTTTGTAATACATAACTCAAACATTAAAATGAAAAACACGAACTGGAACTGCTTGGATCCGACTAAAATAAAAAATGAAAAATTGTTCAATTCCCAAAAAAAAAATCCAATTTTAATATAAAACAAAACTATCCTATATATTAAGAAGGTCACCAACCCAATCAACCTCGTAACTGAAAACTTAAATCCTTGTATGTAATCTCGTGACTTAACT